ACAAAGTACAAGAAAAAATGTACTACTGTATAATTTTGTACATGTAGTTCTTGACTGGTAACATTTCCATGCGATTAAAATGATTGCAAACCTTCTTTTAGTCCTACATTTGAATATATATTCCTCGCTTATCAACCCGACCGACTATTACATGATGCAGCATACCTCCAATGAGCAAAACTATTATCTAGAGTATCATCACACCGTACAAAAGGAAGAATTATGTAGCAAGTTTACCTGAGGAAATAACCTCAGAGTGATTTCAGCTAACATCACGTCTCATAGTGGTTTTTAGTCAGCACATGCATGTAGCCTTAACGTTCCTTAACGAATCACATTCCCCTTCCCACGATGACAGTAGCAGGCCAGAATTAGACGAGGTACACAGTGAAAATTACAGTGTCTTGATCTCGCTAAGCCAGGCCAACATTTGAATTAACACTTCCAGACTAACCCAGGCAAGCAAGAGAACTCGGACACTAACGGGCAGCCGAGTGCTAAAAGAGTGCGCGTTGTCCCTGCTCACACCAATGAACAGTATCAGGTAATGTATGATGACGTCACTGTTTCAGTGATAGGGACTGTTCTATGTGCTATTCGGGGGCACCACTGAATTGAGCCCCTGGGTTTCCCTGATGCACGTGGTCAGTAATCGAAGCCTTAACAACCGCGTTTTAAACACACTGACACACGTTCGTTTGACATATAAGTTAACATCGCTGCATAATAGCTGTACAGGTATATTTAAAAGTCCAGTCTCGTTCCGATCGTCTGCGTTTATTCTAGTCTAAATTAAATACATTTCCCGGACATCGCTTAAGAGCAATTAGGTCGGGATCGCCTGTGTTTAGGTCGTTAGTGATCGTCTGGGGGACGACCCGGATTATGATATAAAAACATGTAAGGGAAGGGTTTATTCAGGAAAGGAAAGTCCGAGTTTATTTAAAGCTTATTTGTTTATTAGTTGCTTTACTGATTCTCACTTTTCACAGGTATTAATTCATCGGTTTAAAATATATTTTGTTCACCAAATTCTTCACTTTAGCCCGCAGGAAGCGCGACAATGCTAAACAAAGTGATAATAATATATTTTTTAAGAAAGTAGTGCTGTGTTACAAAAAAAAAAAGGAAGAAAAAAACTTGAAACAATTATAAGCAACCAAACAACTGAGAAACAAACAAGTGAACACAACAAAACAATTAAAAGGCAACTTCTAAAACAAAAATCGAACGTACAAAAGACAAA